CTTTCCCTCCTTTGTTCAGATGTGACCTTCTCAGACAGGTCTTCGGGGACTCCTCTATTTCAAAGAGTTATTTCCATCCACTAATGGTACTCCCGTCCATTACATTTCCTTTTTGTTTTTATAGTGCTTTTCACCGTCGGAAATACTACATTACTTGTTCATTTATCCACTATGTCTCCTCCTACCTCTATTCTACCTGAATATAAGTTTCATAAGGACAAAGATTCTTGACCATTTGTTCACTGATATTCTCCCAAGAGTTATACAGAGATGAATACTTATTACTTAACAAATATGTGTTGAATAAATGAAGGCATACTGTGTCTTTCCAAATGTCTGGAGGAACCCATACTATCAAGGACTGCAGGATGCCAAATGCTTTTTTCACATTTAAGACAGCGCCAGGGTCAGCAAGCAGTGTGATGGTTAAGGTGCTGTGGACTCTCACATAGGCAGTGATTTGAGTCCCAAACCTGGAGGCTTGAAATTCATGTTGGGCACACACACATACTTGCCCAAAATGGAGGAGGAGAATGGAGGAGAAGGAATTGCAGTGTGGCCATCATTCTGGGGTGGTGATTTCTCACTTTCCCTTTCACTGTCTCTCTCTGTCTCTCTGGCAAGTACACATAACCTATGGCAAATGCCTTAAAAAAGAAAAAAAGTGAAAGACAGCATCAATTATAGGTAATACCTAGGATGTTTCAAAATATCTCTGGAAATCTGATTGGTAGCAGCAATAAATCATGGACCAAGTGAAAGAAAAAGTAAGTGGGAAATTGGCATTTCTTTAAACTACATGTAGCAAGGATATTCTGTTGTGAATAAAATCATGTTCTATGGAGATCCTAGGCTGACCTCATATGACCCTCACTGGCGATAGTTCGCTGTTCACAAAGGGAAACAAATTCAGCTTTTAAAAGTAATGAAATCTTGAGTTTCTTGCTCTTCTCCTATATGAAAATTTGTTCTCTAATTCCTCTAATCTTTCCAATCCTAGAAAGATAGTTTACTAGCAATTCAAAGTATGAAATCAACTAATTTCCAAAAAAGCATCATGTGGAATACAAATTTTCTGTGTAATAATGTGACAAAGAATCTTGTGAGTAAAATTGTCTAGAAAAATGCTGTATTAAACAAAGTTAAACTTTTTTTAAAAGAAAAGGCAGTGCTACTAAATGCAGTAGATTGTTTCATATGCCGACGTTCATCGTCAATTTCAAACTGGAATTTAGTACTAAACATTTTCCAAACTTATTTAACCACAAAGCCCTTTTTGATAATGATGCCACATGAGACAAGGCTTATACAGAATATACTTGGGGACATGCAATTAAACAATTTGGGATTAAATTGAACAATCAACACAATTTTTAAATTTAAATGCTTTAAGAGAAGAAAACAGAGAAAAAGAAGACATATGAAATGTTTAGTATACCTGTACCCACTCTTAAGTGACAGGTTTACATTTTATTAATTCTACAGAATATGGTTTTAGAATCAGACACTGATGATCCAGAAGATTCTCTATTTTGTTTTCCAACACTATGACAAGTTTCTTCCTCAGAGAAAAGTCTTCTCTGCCTTTTTACTGGCATAGCTTTAAATTATCCATAAGTACTTTGCAATAAAAAAAAAATTGAACACTAGGGACCAGCAGTTGGCATAATGGCTATGTCACTGGACTCCCACGTAGTCGACTGCAGTTTGAGTTCCAGACCCGGTGGCTTAAACTCACACCAGGAGCGTATGTATGTGTGCCCAAGATCCCAAGAGGAGAATGGAGGAGAAGGGATTGCACCATGGGCACAACCCCTAGGGGGTTATTTCTCACTTTCTGTCTCTCTGTCTCCCCCTATCTTTCTGGCAATTGCATGTGACCTAAAAAAAAAAAAAAAAAAAAAAAAAAACTCTCCAAAAAAAAAGAAAAGAAATTGAAAACTAGATAGTACATAAAGTGGAATTATATAAAAAGACTATTTAAATTAAACTCTGTCTAGATAGGCAGACAGAAGTTTTGGCCAATACTTGCAAAAGTTATTATTACAACTTACAAGAGTTTGCTTTCTTTTTTCTTTTATTTATTTTTTGGGATTTTTTTTTTTTTTGAGAGTTTTTCACTATAGGGCACGTGCGCTCGCCAGACAGACAGAGAGAGACATAGAGACAGAAAGCGAGAAATCAACCCCCAGGGGGGATGGTCATGCCGCAATCCCTTCTCCATTCTCCTCTCGGGATCTTGGGCATGCACATACATGCACCCGCCATGAGTTCTAAGCCACCAGGTCCGTGACGTGAACCGCGGTCGACTACATGGGAGTCCAGCGACATAGCCATTATGCTAACTGCTGGTTCCCTGCTTTCTTTTTTCTTTAAAGTCCACTCATTTGTCTCTATCATCAGAGAGAAACAGATATTCATAAGGAGACACACAACCCCAACAGGGTCTCCACACCACGATTCTAGTACCAGACGTCCTGGATCACTAGTACAAACTCCTGGAGTACATAGGGATGTGACCAGAAATGAGGCTAGGACCCTTCCTACACCAGTCCAGTTGTGTTAGCTCTACTGGCCCAAGAGATTTGCTTTCTTTCGCTACATCTTTGTGCATAAAGAAGATTAGCATATTTTAGAGAACTGCACAGGTATTTCCTAAAACAATTTCTATGACTCAATCCTTCAAAACAAGAAACAGATGATCTCTTTGGAAGTGCCTTTTTAGGGGCAAATTCCCAGAGTTAAAATATATTCCTGTGTTCAACGTAGTGAATACCTAGCTCACTTCACTAGCAGTGAATCTTGGCCTGTCTTCAGGTGCTACTTACAGAGACTGTGAAAGAGATCTTCATACACATTATAAAATATGAGAAGAAAAGACTTCAGAGAACAGACTTCCTTGTCCCACTTCATTGTGTGCTACTTGGATATAGTCACAAAGCTATTACTGGTCAAATTTAGTACTTAGATTGGGTAATCTAATTCCTAATCTCAGTTTTCTACTTTAATATAACTTTAAGGAATCTATCTGGGGATCCACAAAGTATGAAATTCTTAAGTAGAGTAGAATATAGCAACATATTCCATTGCTTAAATTGAAGTGTTTTTAAATTTTTATCTTACCTGTAGTGCCCTTCCAGTGGGAGTTGTACAGTGCCCTCATCTTCCATAGCTAGCATACTTTGTTCTTCCTGGAAAGACAAACGTAAAGTATACAAAGTGAACCCGATGAGTCTCCATTTTACATTAAAGAAGAAACACAGATTAATGTTTCATTATCTCATTAACCTCAGAACCTTCCACTTTGTTTGCATTTATTAATTCTAGCACAGGTCCTTTCAATAAAGCATCAGCTACCAAGAACACAAGTAATTAATGAGAATCTCATAACACAAGTAATTTAAATGCTAACAACAATCTCCTTCATGTCACTCAATGTAAAACATGGTTAATTTAGAAACAGATTTTTAAAAAACTAACCTAAATTTTATAAGGACAAAAGTATGGGTAATCAGTTTAAGTTGTTATAAAGTTGAAATTATATTCCCAGAATGCTCTACTAGGAGGATGAGGGGTGCATTCTGAGCAGTGGTTCTCAAAATTTTATTTACATCAGAAACCCCTGGAAGACTTCCTAAAAATACAGGTTGCTGGGCTCCACCTCGGAAGTTCTGGCCCAAAGATCTGGAGTAGAGAGGGCATAATGATCCACATTTCTAGCAAGATAGCATTGATTTTGCTGGTCTGGGGACCACACTCTGAGAACCAGTGCTTTACAGAGTTGAAAAACAATGATGGAAATTATCTTCCAATATGGATCAAAACACAGGTGTGTCTTCATGAAGAAGATGGAATAATTTGACTGAACTTGGATGCTTCTTAGGCTTTTATTTTATGCCTCAGAATTTTTTGTAGAATGACAATATCCCACCCTTCCCAAGAGTGGAAATTCCTCATATACTTACGTATGCATTTCTTCATTTATGGCATTTTTAAACTATATCTTTGGAATTAAAATAATCTTACAGCTACAATGCTGAAATGTTCTACTTTTTTTCAAATAATGTTGTCATCAAACCTTTTATGTGCACCAAAAAAAAAAGGGAAGCTATCAACAGATTATCGCTCTTATTTAATGCATTTCTTTTGTTTTCCTCCCCTTTGTGCATGCACTTGCCAGAGGTAGACACAGAGACAGGGAGAGGAAAAAGTACTTCCCAATGGGGCATAGTCATGTTGCGATCCTCCCCATCTCTCTCCTCCTCCTTCTGAGATTCTGGGCATGTGCCGCATGTGCCCAGTGTTTCTCAACTCACAGATCTGGGACTTTAACCACCTGGTGAGCCACATGAGACCCAGCTGCCTTAACCTCAGGTAAAGCAGAGCCAGCCTACTCTAGTTTTCCAAAAGGAAAATTGGTGTTGCTTAAGTTCAATGATTATTTGGGACCATTTGAAAATGTTAAAACCATGGGGACCAGCAGATGGCATAATGGTTACATTGCTGGACTCCCACAGAATCAACTGCAGTTTGAGTCCTGGACCCAGTAGCTTAAAACTCACGCTGGGTGCATGTGCGTACATGCCCAAGATCCTAAGAGGTGACTAGAGGAGAAAGAATTGTGGCATGGCCATCCTTCGGGTGTAATTTTTCACTTTTTGTCTCTTCCTGTCTCTTTGGGGAATGCACGTGGCCTATAACAAAAGTCTATCAAGGAAAAAAAAAAAAAAAGGAGAAAATGTTAGGATCCTTGACTTTAACTCCAGAAATGGAGTTTTAAGATGTATAGTCATGAAGAACTAACTGACCTCTGGCCAATACAGGAACTGATTTTAAAAAAACAAAAACAAAAACAAAAACACATGGGGACCAGCAGTTAGCATAATGGCTATGTCGTTGGACTCCCACGTAGTTGACATGGTTCAAGTCCCGGATCTGGTGGCTTAAACTCATGCTGGGTGCATGTGCGTCCGTGCCCAAGATCCTGAGAGGAGAATGGAGGAGAAGGGATTGCGGCATGGCCATTCCCCCTGGGGTGTGATTTCTCGCTTTCTGTCTCTCTGTCTTTCTGGCGAGCGCACGTGCCTTATAGCAAAAAAAAAAAAAACCTCATGTGGAAGGCGCTGAAGACTCATCTTCCCCTTCTTGTAGTAGCTTAACAGAGTTAAACTAGCCTTAACCAGTTAGGTCAGCTACCTAAACCATCTGGCCTAAACTCAGTTTAGTTTGGCTGGCCTAATCCTTTCCCTAGAAAAATATGACCTGTGGTTGCTATCACTATGCAAGGCTGTTCCTAGGGTCCTCAGTATTCCGAGTTTGGCCCTCCACTTACACACTCCATAATCTGAAGATCTCATGCCTTATTTATTTATTTATTTATTTATGTTATTTAAAGACACAAAATGTTTTCTAGATTCTCTGTAGCTCACCTATGAATATATAATAAAAGGTAGAGGCATTTCTCATTTCACTCTTGGAGTACTCTCCCAAACTGCTGCCCAAGGCAGACCTCTCTCTCCAGGGACTTTGGTCGTGGTGCATATAGACTATGCCCAGCGTATGCTGCAGAATAATGGAGAAGCTGGGGAACTGCGTGAGCTCTGCTGCTTCTCTGCTAGAAACCTTATGCTAGATTTATATTCTGGGACTGGTAGCCAGTGTCTGTGACCCTTTACATTCTGAGAACTAGTTTTGGTCTCTTTCTTTCTCTGCCATTTTTAAAGAGAAAAAAAATTATTTTTAAGTCCAATAAAGTATTTTATTAGCTATATATTATGCCTCTTTCCTTTGTCATTTGTCAGTACTATTAGAACAAACTTAAGGTGGGGAGACAGTACCTAAGTGGTGTTTTATTTTGTTTTATTTTTTAAGAAGTTTTTGCCTTAGCGTGTGTACGCTCATCAGAATTGGAGAGAAACAGAGACAGTGAGAGGGAGAGTGTGGAATTACCCCCCCGGGGGGCAAGGCTGCACCACAGTCCCTTCTCCATTGTCTTCCCAGAATCTTGGGTACGCATGCACGTGCTCCCAACGTGATATTCAAGCCACCGAGTCAGGGACTCAAATCACTGTCAGCCACACGGGAATCCAACGACACATGAGAGCCAGTGACATAACCACTACACCACCTGTGGCTCCACCACTGGATTTATATTACCCAGTTCAGCACTTGAGGAGAGTTCATCTGCAACCTAGAATGGGGCATGCCTTCCATCTGGGCTACCTATAACGCATGGAATATAGTATAAACATCATGTTAACTTATATGCACATCCTGAAGGTCATGGGCATGGCCTAGCTATCCTCTCAAGTGTTGTAGAGAAGGCTACTTTCTCTATAGGTGAGTTTACCTAATGCCCATGGAGGGACTTAGAGAGAATTCTAAAGGCTATATAAATAAAATCAAAATATAACTCTTTCTTTGGTTGTCCACTGAAAGGTTAAGTCTGGTACATAGTATGTTTTCTGGCCAATTTGGAATAAAATGTGAAGAATTTTTACTGAAAGATTTAATAGTGAAATCCAAATGAGAACAGTGCCATCAGTGCTTGGGATACCTGTCAGCAGAAAATGAAGGCTAAAGATTCAATCTCACAGCCAAAAATTGGACCAAAGCTTTGTGAATAATTTTGGTTTTTTCTTCAGATGATTTTCCACTTTTCTCCCAAATTGCTTTCAATAATTATTTTGCACTCTGTGGCTTGTTAGCATGTGTGGGCTTTATACTAGTCATAATTCCATCCAAACAAAAACTCATCACCTCTAAAGATAGCATTTCCAAGCCATGCTTATCTGAAGGGAAGGGTGGCAGAGCTGCCACTGCCTTCAGTGCCAGAAGGAAGCTGGTGGGCCTGGGGGCGCAGGGATGGGGGGCCAGCTGCATCTCAGGCAGCACTGGGATGGAGCCAAAAAGTGTGACTATCTGGGAGGAGCAGTTAAATCATAACCTAGGTTATCGCAATCACACAGGAAAGGAGAATGAGAGCATAAAGCTACCAGATATTCACTAGCTAAGTCAGAAGTACCTTAAAATGAGTTCTATTCTGCACTTCATTTACACAGCATTCATCCAGAATATGCTGAGTCCTACAACACGGTGAAGTAATCAAAGGGATCACTCAGTGGCAGATTTCATCAATTTGACTAGACAGATATTTATACTGTGATTTAAGTGCCCTTTTTAAAATGGTTTTTGCCATAGAACACTGACCAGAGAGAAACAGAGGGTGACAGTGAGAAGTTACTACCTCCCTCCCCACCCTGGGAATGACCTCGCTGCAATCCCTTCCGTTCCATTCCCTTCTTGAGATTTTTGGGTACATGTTGCACATGTGCCCAGCGTGATTTCAAGCTGCCAGGTCTGGGACTCAAACTGCAGTCGGCCACATGGAGTCCAGTGCCTTCACCACCACACCTCCCGCTGGCCTCTTTAATGCTATCTTTTAATTAAGGTAGTCAAAGCATTTTTTCAAATACAAAATAAACGAAGGACAGTTAATGCTGTATCCAGCCATAAGCAGGAAAATTGAGGCTTAGACAATGAATGTACTCCACAGCATTTTTAAACATTAACTGAGCATGTGTTATGTACCAGGCACATAGAGAACAAGAATAATAATCCAAGAGCCATTAATTAATCTATTGAACAAATGCAAATTCAGTAGTCTGCATGACAAAATCTGGTAAGGGGCTTAGATACAACAATGAAAAGAGAGATGTGACCTTTACTCTGGAGCATGTAGGATGAACTAGAAAGTGAGTGGGAAAAAGGAAGAAATCAGATGGGAAGAAACAATGTGGGCCAGACAAAAAAAGAAGGAATTAATGAGATACTTGCATGACAATGTACAACTAGCCTGGTGGCAGCCAAAGACCTGAGTCGCATGGAAGTAGGAAACAAGATGGAGGTCAAGTTCTGGTGTGTTTTGATAAACAGGGCATTATTTACCACATTATATCACGAAACTAAATTGCATTTTGTAGTAGCATAAAAATTACAATTTATCATGAAACCTAATATCCAATCTGTTCTTTAATGAAATGGATAGCAACTATTAACATGTCCATTTTCAGGAACTATCTATTGGTTGTTGGGAAAGTCAGGATGCATTTTTGCATAGGAAAATACGTCATGACTTTCCTGACCACCTATTACATGTATGTAGGAGTCCTCAAATATTTCAAACAGCAGA